GAGTTGCCGACCGGGTTTACCAGCTCAGGCTGGAGGCTATTTGCTTCAAGCACCCACTGCTTCAACAAGTTCGAAGCAGCCTAAAGAATCTCCGACAAAGGCTTTGTGCAGAACTGTGTAAAGTCGAAATTTGAGACTAGTCCCCTTAGACATACATAGCATCACATGAACCTTTGCAACTTTAGTTGCAGTCATCATCCCTGGGGTAGACCGAAAAAATGACATTGTTGAGTTTGCCTCGCAGGCTTTTGGCGGATCTGAATCTCAAGGAGTCACTTGCAGGGATGGAGTAACGCTGTGGCAATACTTTCTCATGAAGAGACATGTATCTGATGGTTTTGTAAAGCAACACACCACACGTTGCTTTCAGTTCTGAGTTCTGCATAGTGTGCCCCGCTCGAACTCGATCTCGAACTCGATCTCGAACTCGAAGTCGAACTGGAACAGTTAGAAGTCAACCCGGTGGACGAATAGCAGGGGTCGAACTCCAAAATCGCTGTCATCGATTCGAATTCGAACTCGAACTGGTCCCCCCCCCCGGGTGTCAAAATTGTCGTCGATTCGAATTCGAATTCGAACTCGAGCTTCAACTGGTTTCTCCCCCCCGGGTGTCAAAATTGTCGTCGATTGGAGATCGAATTCGATCTCGAACACGAACTGGTTCCCCCCCCGGGGTGTAAACATGTTCCTCGAATCGAATTCGAATTCGACCTAATCCTACTTTGTAATGGCTTCTTCCTTTTCTAAATTTTACTTTCGAATGGCCCACAAAAGGAATGCTACGGCTCCTTCCTTCCTACTCTAAATTTTACCATCGGGTGACTCACAAAAAGAAATGCTTCCTTGTAACGGCTCCTTCCTGCTATAAATTTTACCCTCGGGTGGCCCACAAAAGGCATGCTACGTTGCAATGGTTTCTTCCTTTTCTAAATTTTACCTTCGAATTGCCCACGAAAGGAATGCTACGGTTGCAATGGCTTCTTCCTACTCTAAACTGTATCTTCGTGTGGCCCACAAAAGGCATATGCCAGGTTGCAATGGTTTCTTCTTCCTTTTCTAGATTTATTTCGAATGGCCAACACAAGGAATGCTACGTTGCAATGGCTTCTTCCTATTCTAAATTTTACCCTCGGATGGCCCACAAAAGGGATGCTACGTTGTGGTCAGTTGGTTGGTTGCTTCTGGCGCCGCTGGCAGGTGGCTGTTGGTTGGTTGGTTGGTTGGTTGGTTGGTTAGCAGTATTTTTGCCGCAGGGAGTTCACACTAAAATGTTGATTTCGTGGCAGGCGCGGGTTTTGGAGATGAAATGCAGATTTCGTGGCGCGGGGGGGGTTGGGGGCGGCGCAGCGCCCCCCCCAGCGGATCCCAATAAAACAAGTGTTGGCTGCAAAGATGAGACTGCGCAGCGCGGATACTTTCAACAGTTTGATTGCTTTGTTGCTAGCTTGGTTGGTTCCTGTTCTTCTTCTTTGTTGTGGGTCGTGGCGATTGCTGTTGTGGTTGTTGTCGTTGCTGTTGGTTCTCGTTGCTGTTGTTGTGGGTCGATCCGAACTCGAACCCCCTTATAAGTCCCTTAGTCGCCGAACTCGAACTCGAACTCCAACTGGTCCACCCCGGCTCTAATTGTTGTCGATCCGAACTCGAACTCGAACTGGTCC